TCCTGGGCTCACTGATTGTGACACCAAGAGAAGAGGCATCAGGACCAGCAGATTGACGTAATGTTTATGTAGCTGGACTCCCACATAGTTGACTTCGAGTCCCAGATGCGGTGGCTTAAAACTCATGCCAGGTGCATGTGCGTGTGTGCCCAAGATCCTGGAGGAGAAGGGATTGCAGCATGGCCATCCCCCCCGGGGGGGGGGTGATTTCTCACTTTCTGTCTCTTTCCAGTGAGCACATGCATCCTTTAAAAATCTCAAAAAAAAATTTTTTAAAGGTATCTTAGGATGACTTCTTGGTTTCTGACTTGGATGCGTTTATCGTGTACCATTCATCAGTATTAGCTGGATAGGAAGGCGTGCAAGTTTCTGTGGGGCATGTGGTAAGTTCACTTTGGAGGTGAGTTTGGAGGTATAGTCAGAGGGGGTTGTAGGTCATCTAGTACCCAGGAATACAAGAAAAGAAGTTCTGGAAGACTATTTGTAACCTGTTGACAGTGCATTGTAAACTGTTGCAGCTCTGCTGTTTGCCTAATTTCCTATGGCCACTGTAAGTAGTTCCCTTCAATGTCAAACTGTAGTGGGAGGAGTGTACATTGATACAGTCTTCTGAAAATCATTTTGTATCAAGAGTTTCTCCAGCTATCACTAGTGCCCTCTGGCAAGTTAAAAAATAGTACTAGGGACAGCAGGTGATGTGGTAGTTAAGGCACTATATCTCAATGGCCAGCCTACTGTTTAAGTCCTGGACCCTGTGGCCTGAAAAACATGACAGGCACGTGTGCATGCATGCCCAAAATCCCAAGAGGAGAATGGAGGAGAGGGATTGTGGTGTGGCCATTTGCCCACACTCACACCAGGCGCTTATTTCTCACTTTCCTCTTCTGTCTCTGGTGAGCACAAGTGCCCTATGGTTAAAAAGAAAAAAAAAAAAAAAAAAAAGCAATACTAAAGTGTTTAAAAATACTATTTTCTTTCTTCAATAAGTTAATTATAACTGACTTTTTAACTTTATGAACTTAAACTTTTTTAACTTTTTGGCTCTTGTAATAACACTTAAAACACATTTTACAGTTGTTCATAAACACAAACACATTTTACAGTTGTGCAAAATTTTTTTTCTTAAATCCCTATTGTATCAGCTCATTTTAACAATTTTTTAATTTTTGTAAATGTTTTTTGTTTAAAAACTAGGAAATATATACACATATTAGCCCAGGCCTGCTAGGGTCAAGATCATTCATACAATACACTATCTTATGCCTCTGTGTGTGTCTTACTAGAAGGGTCATGGTGAACAAAACAATGAGCGATTAAATCAAGCGCAAGAAACGATGCAGTCAAGAGACGTGGTAAATACGATGTGTGTGAGGTTGCTGCTGGCAAGGTGGCTTTCTGTTTTACAGTAAACTTTTTAAGTAGAAGAACACTAAATGATAGAAATGATAGTAAATGCATAAACCAGTAACATAGACGTTTTTCATTATTGGGCACTATGTACTCTACACAATTGTATGTGTTTTTTTAAATTTGCGTGTGTTCACCAGAGAGGAGAGAGAAAGAGAAACAAGTGGGAAAGTGTCCTCCCAGGGAGAATGGCCATGCTGCAGTCCCTTCTCCATTCTCCTCTCAGAATTTGGGCATGCACGTGTATGTGCCTCAGCCTGTTTCTCAAGGTGGGGTCTAGGAGTCGAACCGAGCAGTTGGCCATGTGGGATCCAGCTGCCTTACCCATCAGGTCACTTGGCTGACCCACGTGCTCTTCTTTTATATGACTGGTTTATACCAGCCTCACCACATTTTGAATCAGTACGCTCCTATAGTGTTAGATGGCAGCAGAACCTTTTCAGTGCCATTATGATCATGTGGGACCACTGTCACATAAACAGTCCATCATTGACCGAGATACCGTTATGTGGTTTGTGACTGTATGTTTATATTTTTGAAGTGTAAGGAATGGCACTGTAAACGCCCATGTACCCACCACTAGTATTTTCAAAAATCATTTTCCTGGGGCCAGCAGGTTGCGTAGTAGTTAAGGTGCTAGACTGCCATGTGGCCAACCATGGTTCCAGTCCCAGACCTGGCAGTTTGAAACTTACACTGGGCGCATGTGTGAGCGTGCGCAAAGTCCCAAGAGGAGAATGGAGGAGGAGACGGGATTGTGGCATGGCTGTCCTCCCGGGGAGTGATTTCTCACTTTATGTCTCTTTGGCAAGAACACACACCCTATAGCAAAACAATCTCTTTAAAAAAAAAAAAAGAAAGACAAAAACATTATCCTGTTTTTCTACATATGCTCAGGCCCTATGCAGTATATTGTTTATACATTATGCATTCTTTTGCAACTTTATTTTTTTAACAAGTATTATGTTCCTGAGTTTTAGCCATGTTTGTGAAGCTGTAAGTTTTTCATCTCACTGTATCTCGTTGTACAACTATACAGTAATTTCTTCACTCTGAGGAGGTGGACCTTTAAGTTGTTTCCAGATTTTTCTTTTCTCTTTTTTAAAAAAAGGCAGGGTTGCACTGTGTTGCCTAGGCTTGCTTTCCTCCTGCCTCAACCTCCTGAGTCTTAGGGATTATGGGTGCTCAGCAGCACCCAGCCTTTAAGTTGGTCTGGGAATGGAACCTGGGCCTTCCATGTAGATCCTGCCTGAAGATGTCTTGGCAATGTGCACCGTTGCTGCTGGGTCTGTTTCCAGATTTATGTTTTTCATTTTTTCCTGGTGGCATGTGCACTTCCAAAAAAGAGAGCAGACACGCCCGCCCCCCATGGGGAAGGGTCACAGACACCTGGCATGTTTTTCAAGCTGTTTAGGCTGGGGCTTAAACCATGTGTTTGAATGTGTGAGATCTGCTGCCTCAACCACCAGGCCATGGAACCAACTGTGTTTCCAGATTTCCTTGTTTGTTATTTCTAACAGTGCTGTGATAAAGATTGTTCATGCTTCAAGGCGTGTGACCATTTGCAAGAGTTTTTTTTTTTTTTTTTTTTGGAGAGGTTTTCGCTATAGGGCGCGTGTGCTCGCCAGACAGACAGAGAGAGACATAGAGACAGAAAGCGAGAAATCACCCCCCAGAGGGATGGTCACGCTGCAGTCCCTTCTCCTCCGTTCTCCTCTCAGGATCTTGGGCACGCACGCACATGCGCCCGGGGTGAGTTTTAAGCCACCGGGTCTGGGATGCGAACTTCGGTCAACTACGTGGGAGTCCAGGGACATAGCCATTACACTAACTGCTGGTCCCCAAGAGTTTCTTAAGTATGTTTCCAGAGTATTAAGTGTTAGGTCATAGGGCAAGTGCCATGTTTAAGCTTTACTTGTAATGCTAAATTATTGGGTCATCAGGAAAGTAGTGATGCATTTTTGCGTAGAAAAATATGTCATGACTTTCCCACCAACCTAATATTTTCCAAAGTGATAGTACTGGCTTATGTACCTACCATTAGTATGTAAACATCCTAATTTTTCCACATTTTCAAAAAAATTTGAAAAAATCAGGCATTTAAATTTTGCCCATCTGATTGGTGAAAAGTGACAATTATGAGGATGTATTTAACTTTTTTCTTTTTCTTTTTTTTTTTTTGCCACAGGGGATGTGTGCTTGCTGGAGAGAACCAGTGAGACAAAGTGAGAAATCACCCCCGAAGGGGATGACCACACTGCAGTTCCTCCTCCTCCATTCTCCTGGGGGTTTTGGGCATGCACACAGGCCCAGCATGATTCTCAAGCCACAGGTCTGGGTCCTGAACTGCAGTTGTCCATGTGGGAGTCCACCTGCTGACCCCCTGTATTTAACTTTTTAAAAAGGTGTTTCCTTTTCTGGTTTTATAAATTAGTAGTTTCCGGTGCCAGCAGGTGGCATGGTGGTTAAGGGTGTTGGACTCTCACATGGCCTAGGGTGGTTTGAGTCACCTGGCAGCTTGCTTTCTAACTTTCCCCTTCTCTTACTCTGTCCCTCCCTGGTCAAATTAAAATAAATAAATGAATGGGTCCAGCAGGTGGCATGGTGGTTAAGGCTCTGGACTCCCACATGGCTGACAATGGTTCAAGTTCCAGACCTGGCAGCTTAATTTCTTACTTTTTCTTTCATTCTCACTTTCTAGTCAAATTAGAAAATAAATAATGACAAGTGAAATAAAAATAAGAAACAGTTTTTAAAAATAAATAAAGTAATTCTTTAAAAAAAAAACAAGTAGTTTTCAAAGTGATCTTTTTAAAGAATTATTTAATTTTATTTATTCATTTATTTTAATTTGACCAGAGACACAGAGAAATGGAGAGGAAAAGTGAGAAAGCAAGCCACCAAGTCCAGGACTCGAACTTTGTTTGGCCGTGTGGGAGTGTCCAACTCCTCAACCACCGCACCACCTGCTGGCCCCTCTAAGTGATCTTTAATGTTACTTAGAAACTTTGAGAATCAGATTGTTAATATTGTCACATAAAACTCCGTAGAATTTCAGCTTTTCGTTTGCTTAGTAGTTTTGTAGTATATAATATAAGGTCCTTAATGATATTTTAAAAAATTGATCTTGGGGAGCCAGCAGGTTGCATGGTCAAAGAAGAGAGAAGAAAATTAAACTTGGCTTTTAGTTCATTTCAAAACACATTTTGAATATTTCCTAAAGGAATTTCACAGCACCATTTGCTACATTTGGAGAAATCTGAAGTATTCAGCTGGTTTTACTGAAAATTTTGTTTGAAAATAAAATCACAGAAATAAACTAATGGCACACAGAAACCAATGAATCTTCTCTGCATCTCTTCATTTTCCTCTTCTACTGGGTAATAGGTACAAATGCTTACTTGGTATGAATCATTTGTCTTTGGTTGCTTAATGAAGAATTTTTAGTAAAGTGAAACTCTTTAAATTGATATCCTTTAAGAAGTTTAAAGATTGTAAATGACAGTATAATTCAGCATAATGGAATCAACGTAAAATAAGATTGGCCTCTAATGAGAATTCTGCCAGTTTAAAAAACACCTTTTATGTTTTAGCACCAGTATGCATGAGCGAGTGAGCCGAACAGAAAGACAGTTTCGATCACTTCCAGCTAATCAGCAGAAGCTACTTCCTCAGTTTCTTCTTCACTTGGACAAGATCCGGAAATGCATTGATCATAATCAAGAAATACTACTGACCATTGTGAATGATTGCATCCATATGTTTGAAAATAAAGAATATGGAGAAGATGTATGTGGAAGTTCTATTTTTATTTTTCTGCTTATTGATCATTTTGGCTTTAACTTCTACGTTCTGTGGTCTTTATCTTTCTGGATTTCATTTTTATAATCTTGCACAGGTCATTTGTTCTGCTCAGAGAATGTTTTCACTATATGTTTAGTCATTTGATTAGGCTTAATACTAAGATTAACTGCTGGCATTTTGATACATTTTGACATAGGGTTCTAAATGTCCTTGATTACAGGATAGTGACTGAGACTTCTAAAAATGGCTTTATTAACTATATAAAATTTATCTCCCTCACTAAACTAATGTATTTTTTTAAAGTATCTTGTATCTGTTGCTATTCTTTTACTTTAAGAAATTACTTTCATGGGCCAGTTGGTAGCATGGTAGTTACGATGGCTGGATCCTACATGGCGAGGCCTGGTGGCTTGAAAACCATCTTGGGCATGTATACCTGAAATCCCTAGAGGAGCATGGTGGAGATGGGATTACAGCATGGCCAACCACTATGGGTGGTGCTTTCTCACTTTCACTCTTTCTGTGTCTCTTCTCTGTTTCTTTCCTGCGAGTGCACGTGCTCTGTAGCAAGTTAAAAAGAAAGAAATTATTTTTACTTACGAATCTCAAGAGACTTGTAATAAAAACTGAAGTCCTCTTCTTGTGTCTACAGAATAGTCTGGCCACCCTAGTGTGAGGCTCTCCATGCTGCCCCACCAGTGATCTGGAGGAACTTTCTTCTCAGTCTTAGAGAGAGAGAGTGTGTTCTGTCTCCAGAGCAGCTCAGTTCTGGTCCTGTGTGAAGACTGCTTAATTATATGGTGGTTTTATGATTAATGGACCTTAATTTATTGAAATGAGACTTTTCATTTAGGATCTCAAGCTGCACTTGAACCCCTGTTGAGGTAAAATGCTAGTAATTTATCCACTAAACCACCAACCTATATAGCCCCATCATACCATGTCTATTTAGCCATATTCAAAGTTGATTATTTTCTCTGAAGCTAATTGGTTTCTGTTTCTTAAACAGGGGAATGGGAAGATTATGCCAGCATCTACATTTGATATGGATAAGTTAAAATCCACGTTGAAACAGTTTGTGAGAGACTGGAGTGAAACTGGGAAAGCCGAAAGGGATGCCTGCTACCAGCCAATTATTAAAGAAATTTTAAAAAATTTTCCAAAAGAGAGATGGTAAATAGTACTTTGTTTTTAACCAACTTCTTTAAGATGTGTAAGCACAAAGTTTTTTTTTTATAAGGCATACCACTGTCTTGATTCATTTGTTTAGTTCCTGTGTCCCTGTATGTTTTACATGTGTGAGAGTTATAGTTGTTACTGGATGCTTGTGTCTGTCTGAGGTTGCAGTTAATATTTTGAATGATTTTTGCAGTTAATATTTTGAATGGTTTTTGCTGCAGTACTTAGGGGAAATTACTCTTTCCAAAAATTAATATAAGAATTAGATTGAATATTCACTATCAGTGACGTATATGTTTTTATAATTTGCTTTGTGGCAAAACAAAAAGCTGCAAACTCTTTAATTCTCTTTTCGACCTGCTTGTAAGCAGATGAGAGATCTACATTATAGAGTAGAGCTTTTTAACTTTTTTATGCCATTGAACCCTTGGCCATTCTGAAGCCCATGGTCTTTTTAGAATATCATTTTTAAATGAATACAACAAAATTCATAGGATTACAAAGAAACCAATTATTTTGAAATATAGTTATCAAAATTAAGCAAATGTGTGGCGAGCATGCTTTTTATCATGTGTCACATTAAGTACAGTCTAGCAGCAAATGTTACTTTGTTATGAAAACGCTGAGCTGGTGCATACTGAGAACCTCAGCAACTAATGTGAAGGGAAAACATGATTTTTATTGGTGCTAAAGTCACAAGTACTATTAAAACTTTATTATTAATTTTTTTGGTTAATTTATTCATAAGTGAAGAAAGAAAATACCAGTCAAAAGTTAATAAAATAAAACTGTAATTTTTTCCCCTCCCTTTGGTAGTCCTAATGGATACTCGCCATGAACTCCTTGAGCCATTGACCCCTGGTCAGGAACCCCTGACTGAAGAGGCATTCTTTCAAGAGAACCAGTGGGTGGAATTTAGTCTGTCATTTAAAAACTTTTTGTAGAGAAGCTCTTTTTCCTCATTTCCTTCCACTCCTCATTGATTCTTAACTTCTTTTTGTTTATTTAGTTTTTGGAAGCACCACCAGGATTAAATAGCAACTTTAAATTTGGGTGTATCCTTCCAGAAATTTCAATACGTATGTGTGTCTTTTTTCTTTCTGTTTTTTTAACTTTTTACTTTGAAATACCTTTTAAAAGTATAGTTAAGTGGCTTGAATTCTTCAGGTGTCCTATATACTCTTCATCTAAATTCACAAGTTTTTATTATTTTATCACATTTGCTTTATCATTTCTTCCTCTTCCTTCCTCCTTCTCCCACTTTATGTATGTGTGTATCTAAAATCACACATATACAGAATTGTCATTTAAACCATTTGAGAGATGAGTTTATATACATCATGCTTTTTCAACCACTAATACTTCAGTTTATTCTTAAGAACAAGGAATTCCTTATATAAACACAGTTCTCAAATTGAAGAAATTTAACCTTGAATACTGTTATTTAACTTTAAATACCCATAATCCACAGTCTATATTCAAATTTCATAATATTTATTTTTCTGTCCAGTCCAGAAGTCAATCTATGATATACTGTTGCATTTCATTATAATGTGTTAGTCTTTTAATCTGGAACAGTTCCTTGGTCTAATGACCTTGACATCTTTGAAGAATACAAGGAGGTTATTTTACAGAACATTGTCTAGGTTGAGATTTTCTTATGGTCCTTCATGATTAGATCTAGATTATGTATTTCCAGTTGAAATAGAATATAATTGAAGTTTTGTCTTTTCCTTTTCCTTTTGTTTTTAAGTTTATTTGTTGTGGGGACACCTTAGACAGGCTTTTATTTTTGTTTGATTTTGGGTTTTAGTCATAGGGCGAGAGTGTACTTGCTGGAGAGGAGAGACACAGAGATAGAGAGGGAAAGTGAAAAATTACCTGCCGGGGAGGCAACCGTGCCACAGTCTCTTCTCCTCAGGATTATGGGCATACATGCACCATGTGCCCAGCATGATTTTTCTTTTTTTTTTTTTTTTCCAGCATGATTTTTCAAGCCACTGAGTCTGGGGACTCAGTAAGCAGTGGGCCATGTAGGAGTCCAGTGTCTTACTACCATGCCACCCACTGGCCCTTCTGCAGGGTTGTTTTTGGTTTTGTTTTGGAGAGGTTTTTGCTATAGGGCTCATGCGCTCGCCAGAAAGACAGAAACAAAGAGACAGAAAGCGAGAAATCACCCCCCAAAGTGGGGGTGGCCATACTTCAATCCCTTCTCCTTCACTCTCTCAGGATCTTGGGCACGAATGCACATGCACCCGGCATGAGTTTAAGCCACCAGGTCTGGGACTCAAACCACGGTTGACTACGTGGGAGTCCAGTGACATAGCCATTACGCCAACTGCTGGTCCTGCTTCTACAGGGTTTTTATGCTATGAATCCTACACCCTGCCCTGCAGCCAACCAGGCAGGTTGACATAGACCTGAAACTAAAAACTAGAGACTTCCTGCCTGGTGCACAGCAGCGCTCCTGCAGCCTGAGCCTCTGCAGCTGGGCCTGATATGCCTTTTTTAAGACATCATATCCAGAGACATTTATCTATCAGACAGTCATTGACGATTTCAACTTTGATCACCCAATCAAGATACTATATGGGAGCCAGCAGGTTGCGTGGTGGTTAAGGGCGCTAGATTCTCACATGTCCTTCGACCATGGTTTGATTCCCGGACCTCGCAGCTTGCTTTCTCACTTTCTCTCTCTTTCTCTCTCTTCCTCTGTCCCTCTGTGGTCAAATTAATATAAACAAATAAATAAAGTTAAATAAAATAATTTTTAAAAAGATAATAAAAAAATAATAAAATTTTAAGAAGATACTATATAGTTTCTCCACTGTTATTCTCTTTTCCCAAAGAATAAGTGATTTCTGGCAAGACACTTTTGGCCCATCTAATTAATGCTGCATCACATGAAATGATCTATGCTATTGTGATTTTATAGCTCTGCTGTTACCAATTGGCATTCTACTGTAAGGAAGAATCCCCCTTCTCTTCTACTTAGGTATCTAATTATCTCTTACCAGGAAGACTCACAGTTCTTAACTTTATTCATGGGGTTATAATCCCTTACTGGTTTTTATTTTGTGGTTCAAATTGGCTCAGATTTGGCCAGTAGAAGTCTCTTTTACTTGGCGCTTTTGTCTTTTTGGCATATGCCAATCTTTTTTTAATTTTTATTTTTAAATATATCTTACTTTCTGGCATAATAAAATATCTCAGACTCATCTTGGATATTCTCTGCTTTGGTTCTGTAATTGGTTATCTCTGCAATGACCTGGTTCTTCTTAATAAAGAATGGTGTGTAGAAACCAAGATCTGGGACTAAGCCTGGCTGTTGTTGTTAAGAGGCTATTATCTTACAGACCTTTCCGTGGCCGGAGCTACACACATGCGTGCGTGCACTAGAAATCACGAATTCGCATTGATAACTGACTTCATTCTCAATTCCATGGATTCCACCTTGGTTTCTCATCTTCTCTGTATCTGTTTGCCTTTTTCCACAGAGAGGACCCTGGTGTCCAACAGCATCATTGCATTGGTTCATTTGCTCAGTCCTCTGCAACATGCACAGAATGGTTCCACAATTGGTATATTCATACCTCCATGAAAAGGAAACCTAATAGATGTGTAGGATTAACTATACTTGTGATAATTAAAATTGTTTCCTTATGGAAAAACATGTGTCTTATTAATTTGTCCGATTTGTTCATATTTAGAATTTTTTTAAGTATTTCACTTCATTTTATTTATTCTTATTATTTTTAAATTTGACCAGAGGAAGACACAGAGAGAAGGAAAGTGAGAAAGCAAGCTACCAGGTCCAGGATTCAAACTGTGGTCTGCCATGTGGAAGTCCAGCACTCCAACCACCACACCACCTGCCAGCCCCCGTATTTAGAATTTGTAACATGACCGAGTTTATAAGTACATGCAGCTTTGAAGCCACAGATAGACTTACTTCTGTTTTGACTTCTATATTAAGTCTATTTGTTAATTAAAGAAATGCTAACTTAATCATACTGAGTGGTTATTAGCCTCTGGCTTGATTTTGTTTTAAATAGATTTGAATTTTGTTCTAGTGAGTATTTGCTCGTTGAAATTAGCAATATTTATTTTAAAACTTTAAACTCTGGGCTCAGGGTTTAAATTCTTTTCTCAAAAATAAATATAAGCATAATATAACTCTTCTCAGTTGATAGAACAGTATGTATTGAAATTTTAAAAATTTATCCAAGTGAATATTTAAATATAAGAATCCAATGCTATAAAGCTTTTAGTTGTAGGAAAAGATACTTAAGTTAGAGTCCTGTCTAAAGAGAGGTCACAGCCTGTGGCATCAGGTTGCTAATGAATCCTGAAAGCTGCCGGTCTGTATTTTTTTGTGTTTTAGATTTTAATTTCATTAGCCCTTTCCATTTTAGAAAAATGAGAAGAGATACTTTGTGGGGGAAAAATCTATCAGTCCTTGCACTTCAGTATACTCTTAACAAACACTCTTAAGAAGATACTGATGTACTGTTGACTGGTTGATTTTAATTTTAATTTTTTTTACATAGTTGAGCATTAGGAAGAAATATTTTTAGCTTTAAAGAATTTTTTCTACTTAGGTTAAAATAAAGAATGTAAATTATAATTTATAAAAGAATTCTCTTAGCTAGAAGAATCTGGTTTTTTTAAAATAATTTTTAAAATTTATAATTTTGAAAGATTTTTGCCATAGGGTGCATGCACTCACCGGAGAGAGAGAGGCAGAGAGAAAGCAAGAAATCACCATCCAGGCGGGATGTCCAGTGAGAGTCCAGCAACATAGCCATTACACTAACTGCTGGTCCGCCTGGTGTGAGTTTTAAGCCAACAGGTCGGAGACTCAAACCACGGTCGGTCATGTGGGAGGGAGTCCAACTACATTACCATTATGCCAACTGCCGGTCCAGAGAATCCATTTTATTTATTTATTTTTAAATTTTTATTTATTCATTTATTTTTACTTGACTAGAGAGAGGCAGAAAGAGAGAGAGAGAGGGAAAGTGAGAAAGCAAGCCACAGGCCCAGGACTTGAACCATGGTTGGGCATGTGGGAGTGTCCAACACCTTAACCACCACACCAACTGCCAGCCCCAGGAGAATCCATGCTAAAAGAAGAAACATAGTTTAGAAGTTGAAAATTCTCCCTCATTCAGAAAGCCCTCCTAAACCAAAGACAAATAAGTGTCACAGATTTCTTATAAATCAAAATTTCAAGTGCTTAAAAATCTAGAGTAATAACTGAGTAGGAAAATCATTCAGAGTTAATAACCTAGTGGGAAAAAATGGTACAGAGAGTTTACAGAAAAAGAAATACAAGATGCTGAGTCTCATAAGAGAATGCAGAGATAAAGATCACTTTAAGATGCCAGTTTTCGCTCACTGCATTGCAGAGATTAAAGTGAGATAGCTGTTAAGGTCTGAGGAAACATATTGCTGACGTAAGAGTAATTGAGTAAAAAATCTTATAAAAGGCAGTTTTGCATGTCTTGATTCTTACAGTTCAATTTCAGGAAAGCCATTCTATAGATACACTTAGGCATGTGGAAGTTATTCAAGCCAAGAATATTAATTTCCACATTGTAGTAGCAAAGGATTGGAAATAATCTAAATGTTCTCATTAGACGATTTTGATAAAAATTTAAGATACAGTCATACAGTGGAATTAAGAAAATGCTGTGAACTGCTAAGGCAAAAGTTTCAAGATGCATTAGATTGGGGTTGGCATACTTCCTCTTAAAAGTGCTATAGTAGTGGGGCCAGCAGATGGCGTAATGGTTATGTCACTAGACTCCCACATGAGTGACCCTGGTTGGAGTCCTGAAACAGGTGGAATTGAAATAACCTGAAATGAGTTCTTTGGAGTGATGAAGAGGCAAGTTGGACCATATTGTTGAAAGTGCTTCACCCTATTCCTCATTTACAACCCATTTTCTGTTATGAATTTTAAAGTCAACACCTAGCTCTATTTAAAACCTTGAAATTTTGCTGTATTTGCTTTTTATTTTATTTTTTTAAGGTTTTTGCCATAGGGTATGTGTGCTCACCAGAGAGACAAAGAGAAAGAAAGTGAGAAATCACTCCCTAGAGGGATGGTCATGCCACAATTCCTTCTCCATTCTGTTCTTGGGGTTTGGGCCACACACGCACATGTGCCCAGCATGATTTTCAAGCTGCTAGGTCCTTGGACTGGAACTGCGTGAGAATCCTGCACCTTAGCCATCATGCTACCTGGTGACCCAATTTAATTTCTTTCTTTTTTTTTAAGAATTATTTTATTTAACTTTATTTTTATTTTTATTTGACCAGAGAGAGAAGGAAAGTGAGAGAGCAAACCGCCAGGTCCGGGACTTGAACTACTATTGTCATGCGGGAGTCCATAACCACCACGCCACCTGCCGGCTCCATGCGGGAGTCCATAACCACCACGCCACCTGCCAGCTCCAATTTCTTACTTTTTTTCTTTTTTTCTTTTTTTTTTTTTTTTTTTAAGGAAACATTACAAGTAAAGTTGAAACTGTCCAGAGTACATTCCTCTCTTTCTCTTAAGAGATAACCACTAACGTATATTTGTTATGTTATTCTAACTTTGTATTCCTACATTAACTAAGTGTTTATATATTCCTAAAGAACCCATTGTATTGTTTTGTATGTTTTAAAGGTACATTTAGTGGTTTGCAGTATCATTTCACAATTGTTTTTTGATTTATAATTTATGGGTATAGCACCATTCAGTCTACAAACATTATGTAGTGTACATATATAAGGCACATCTTTGTATGTAATTTAAAATTTCCCAGTAGCCACATAGAAAGAAGCAGGTGAAATTAGTATACTTTAATAACCAAGTATATTCAAAATATTATTTCAACGTGTAGTCCATATAAATTATTGAGTACTTTTGCAGTACTTTAAAAAGAGATTGTTAGAGGGCACCATGTGCTCCCTAGAGAGAGACAGGGACAGAGGGGAAGCGAGAAAGCACTCACTTGGGCTATGTGCACACCACAGTTCCTTCTCCATTTCTCCCTCCTTTGGGGATTTGGGTATGCATGTACTCATGCCCACCATGTTTCTCAAGTTACTAGGTCTGGGACTTGGACCGCCCATTTGCCCAAGGGGATCCCAGCTGCCCTAACCACCATGCCATGGGATGGCCCTGCCTTACTTCGTATACTTACTTTGAAATCTAGTGTGTGTTTACATTCATAACATAACTCTGTTTACACAGTTTGAGGATCCTATAGACAGACACAAAGGTTAGACCTTTTCTGTCTGCTGCTTTGATTCAGAGAACCACTTCAGTGCTTAAAAGCTCTATGTGCTCCTACCACTAGGGGTCAGCCAAGTGCCACTGTGTCAACAGAGTAAGATCAGAGTATTGTGTGTTGGAGTTTTCTGATCTGCTGCAGTGTAAAGATCATTCTTTGTACAGTAAACATTTACTACCAGTGAAATAGTTGCAGCAGGAGAGGAATACAAATGAAAATATGGCCTGTGACATATAGGCTCTTTGTGTTCTGTCTTTACAGATGCACTGTCTTTGTTCTTACTTGTCTTGAATAAATGGCTGAACCTTCCCTCTTCCCTATTACCAGCACTGAATCAGTTGTAGTAAACATACTGATTCACCATATTTGGACCTTATTAACTGGTAAAACTGTTTGCTGCTTTTGCTAAGAATCTCAAATAGATAACATTTGACTACTGAGCCACAAATTGTATGCCTTTCTGTTCATAGTGTTTAAAGTCTCAGCTTGGTTTGAAATCATCTTGCCATTAAGGTCTATTCTTAGATTTGTATTTCTCTTACTCTTCATAGGAATGCCCTGGCCTTCATAAGGATTATAGCAGAAACTGCCATTTAACATGCTTTCATTTCATGCACACTATAATTAGGAAACTTTTTTTATGTTATTAATATCCATTACTTAAAGTGCCAGTGGGGGGAAAAATCAAACTAAAATCAAACATTTGAAGAAAAAGTCTATCTCAGTCATTCGTTATTTTTGTTTTGTTTTGTTTGTGTTTTCAGTTTTAGAGGATTTGTTTTAGCGTTTCTTCTCAGATGCTTATTAAAATAAAATCTTTTTTGTTATAATGCAGGTAATTTTTATATCTATAGTAGTCTCTGGTAATTATTAACATAGAGTTTTGATGTGTTCTGCTTGTAATAGCTTGATGATAGCCTCTTAATAACACTTTTATGCATGGTAGTGTTCCTATATTTTCTGCCACAAGGTGGGGACAAAGAGTCCTATGGTTCTTATGATGGGAGAATTTGATAACAAAGCTTCCACATAAGTAATCAAGTTAATCATTGGTACTATAATTAGGAAACTTTCCCTTAAGGGTAGCATCATCTCTAATTTATATATACTGATTTTTTTTTTAACTTGGTCATTAAGCATTCAGAAATTACTAGTGATTTTTTTTTTTGGACAACTAGTGATTTTTAATAAACATTTTAAATACTCTGAAATACTCTGAATTACTTCCAGTCTTTTTATTTTCTGTAACATTACTTTGATCAAAATTTTTCCTTTTTTAATTTTGCTTTAGGAAGCATGTGCTCACAGGAGAGAGACAGACCAAGAGAGAGGGAAAGTGAGAAGTCAGCCCCCAGGGGACATGACCACACTATAGTGCCTTCTCCATTCTCCTCTTGAGATTTTGGGTATGCACGCACATGCATCCTGTGTGTTTTCATGCTGCCCGTCCGGGCCTTGAACTGCTCTGTGAGATCCAGTTGTCTTAACTACTGCAACCATTAAATAATTTTTTTTTTAAAGGTTTTCGCTATAGGGCGCGTGCGCTCGCCAGACAGACAGAGAGAGACGAAGAGACAGAAAGCAGGAAATCACCCCCCGGGGGGGGTGGCCACACCGCAATCCCTTCTCCTCCATTCTCCTCTTGTGATCTTGGGCATGCACGCACATGCGCCCGGCGTGAGTTTAAGCCACCGGGTCCGGGACTCGAACCACGGTCGACTACGTGGGAGTCCAGCGACATAGCCATTACGCTAACTGCTGGTCCCACCATTAAATAATTTTTAAAGGACTAAGCTGAGCACAGCCTCTTGGGTTGGAGGTGGAAATATATGCTTTGACTGGGCAGATGAGGATTGAGAAATAAGGCAAATTCTGGAGAGTAGGGCTTTTGGGGGGCGAGGTCTGGTAGAGGATAGAAAATGAGCAGGAGGCCTGAGTGGGCTGTCCTTGTGGCAGGTCCTTAAACAAGGAATAATCCAAAGTCCTAGAGTGAGACATTTTTCAAATTCTAATGTTAAAATTATGTATATTCTTTCTAGGTGACCAATATAGATAGCTTTGAACAAAGTGAGAGGATGTATCTGTTTTCTTCATTAAAAATGAAAGTGCACTTATGAACACACACACATTCACGCACACACACTGTATAATCTGGAATGAGATGGAAGCATTTATATTAGTGAATACTATTATATGACTCCTTGGAGTCAGTTGCCCATATCAATTACTAAAGGATATTTTCTAATCATAATATGTCTATTTGTCAATCCCTTCTCCTCCATTCTCCTCTTGTGATCTTGGGCATGCACGCACATGCGCCCGGCGTGAGTTTAAGCCACCGGGTCCGGGACTCGAACCACGGTCGACTACGTGGGAGTCCAGCGACATAGCCATTACGCTAACTGCTGGTCCCACCATTAAATAATTTTTAAAGGACTAAGCTGAGCACAGCCTCTTGGGTTGGAGGTGGAAATATATGCTTTGACTGGGCAGATGAGGATTGAGAAATAAGGCAAATTCTGGAGAGTAGGGCTTTTGGGGGGCGAGGTCTGGTAGAGGATAGAAAATGAGCAGGAGGCCTGAGTGGGCTGTCCTTGTGGCAGGTCCTTAAACAAGGAATAATCCAAAGTCCTAGAGTGAGACATTTTTCAAATTCTAATGTTAAAATTATGTATATTCTTTCTAGGTGACCAATATAGATAGCTTTGAACAAAGTGAGAGGATGTATCTGTTTTCTTCATTAAAAATGAAAGTGCACTTATGAACACACACACATTCACGCACACACACTGTATAATCTGGAATGAGATGGAAGCATTTATATTAGTGAATACTATTATATGACTCCTTGGAGTCAGTTGCCCATATCAATTACTAAAGGATATTTTCTAATCATAATATGTCTATTTGTCAGGAGTCATTTTTAACAGATTTCCTTTTATGCTTTATTGTATGTATAAAATTCAACCCTAATAAATAGACTTTATTAGGGTTTTTATATAAACATATGTTCCATATAAATAAATAAGATTGAGTGACCCTGGGCAAATTTCTGTTATGTGGTAGACAGAGTTTTCAAAAGCACCATAGTGCTTGTCCATTTCAAAGTGTGATATGGAAAAGTTAATATAAACCAAGTAAAATGCCATTTTGCTCGCTGGAACATGCCAAGCCATGTAGTTTTTAATTTTTTAAAATTTGCTATAGAGCACATGCACTTATCAAAAAGAAAATAAGTGAGAAATCACCCCCCCCAGGGGTAATGGCCACATCACAATCCCTTCTCCTCCATTCTCTTCTCAGGATTTTGGACCTACATGCACACGTTCCCAGTGTGTTTTTATTCAAGTCTCCAGGTCTAGGACTCAGACCACTCAGTTGACCATGTGGGATCCAGTGGCCTTAACCACCATGCCTATATATATATATATTTTTTTTTTTTTTTTTATTTAAAGGTTTTTGCCATGGGGTGGGTGTGCTCATGGAGAGAGACAGAGGGAAAGTAAAATCATCCCTTGGGGGTATGGCCATGCCACATCCCTTATTCTCCATTCTCAAGATTTTAGGCAGGCACGCACATATGCCCTATGTGAGTTTCAAGCCACTGGGTCCAAGAATCAAACTGCAGTCTGTCTTGTGGGAATCCAATGCCTTAACCACTGTGCCACTGACTAGACAAGACCATCTAGGTGTTTTGTGTTTTTTTTTCCCAGAATTACTTTTATTTAATGTTATTATTATTTTTAAATTTGCTATAGGGCACATATGCTTACCAGAGAGAGGGACAGTGAGAAAGCAAGTCGCCAAGTCTGGGGCTCAAACCAGTCAGCCATGTGGGAATCTAGTGCCATAACCACTGTGCCACCTGCCAGCAAAGACCATGTAGCTCTAAAGATAAAAATGTATAAGTAGGAGTAGATTTAGATAGTGGATCTGATTTGTGAACCAAATTTAGGTAATACAGTAGTGAAATTCCTTCTTACCTGATGCCACCTGAAGATAGACATTTTCCTGTAATTTGCTTTAAGAATGCCATTTTAGTTTTGTTGGGATTATACTGATCGCTAGAATTCCTGAGAAAAGTCTTTACTTTGTGTTTGCTAAGGCTTTTAGTGGTTTGAAAGTAGAATGACAGATCTCCCAACGCAGCAACTGTGTGTTGGCAGTGTGATGCTAGTCTGGGAAGTCCGTTCAGTCACGAGCCTCCACCGTGGTACAGTGTTTGCCATCATTTTCCCCATGAAAAGTATTCCACCCCCACTCCCATTTCTTTTGCCAACTGAAACATGTCAGGTTTTAGAGCTATACCAGACACACTAAAATTTACATATATTTAATCTGTTTAGTTATACAAATCATTGTATTACATGTACAATTTTAGAGATAAAGTTATGTAATTGGAGTCCCGTGGAATAGTTTTTCTTCCTAAAATAGTTCAGGCAATAGCAATTAGTAATGTGAGTTCAGAAGTCTTCAGATGTAAGATGATTTTTTTTTTCCCTAAAAAATAGTTTGAGGTGATAAAAATCTTCACCTAGTATCTGGACATATATATCTTGTATTCCTTATTTATATGTAGAAGTATTTCTCAATTTTAAGAGGTTAGAACCTTAGCTTATTCTTAATGAATAGAGTATCTAAGATTTTAGCTATTAATGTGGATTTTGTCTTTCTCTTTTTTTTTCCTTTGAGGGGTTGGACATAATTGCCTTATTTCATTTCAGGGATCCTTCTAAAGTAAATATTCTGGTACCTGGTGCTGGACTAGGAAGACTGGCCTGGGAAATAGCTATGCTAGGTTATGCTTGTCAAGGAAATGAATGGAGTTTTTTTATGCTCTTTTCTTCCAACTTTGTACTCAACAGGTATTTAATTTATTTTTTGCTGGAAATAGTAATTTCTCAGAATCAGATTGACTTACCTATTTTTTGAACAGTTCTGAATTTCAAGATAAGTACATAGTGTTTGATTATAAAGTATGTCATAAATGTTTCTTACGTTAAAATCAAAATGCTTACACAGATTACCATCTGAGCCCACTGTCCAGTTAACAGAAACAGATGGGGCAAGTGACTTTTCAGAAAGTGGACATTTCATGAAACCGAAGGGATTTCTGTAGAGAATCTTCAGGACTTAGTGTGATCCAAGAACGAGCATTTTCTCATTATTTCTAAACTTCCTCACTCCTTTGTTCCTCTAGTAGAATAAGAATTTACAATAGTTGAGCAATCATAACTTACTTTCCTTAATCAAGTTCTTTAAAAAAAGGCCAAGAATGCTCACGAGTGTCAAGATCTCTAAGAACTTTTTGTGGCCTCTTAGAAGGTAATGAAAAGGATTTTTTGTCTTGTTTTGTTTTAGTATTACTATGGGCTGCATGAGCTCGCCAGAGAAAGAGGAAGGGAGAGAGAAGGGAAAGTAAGAAAGCACACCCCCTGAGGGGGGATGGCCAGGCCTCAATCCCTTCTTCATTTTTGTCTCTGAATTTCGGACACACATATATACACTGCTGGCATGATTTCATGCTGCTAGGTTCAGGACTCGAACTGAGATCCAGCTGCCTAAACTACAACGCCACCAGCTAGACTAAGATTTTTTTTTTTAAAGCTAGATGATGTGTGTTACAGAAAAAAAAATAGCTATCTTACTTAAATTATATATTGTCTCAGATGGCAGTGTGAGTTTTAGAGGGTTTAGAAGGGAAAAAAGAGGATCGTACAAAAATAATTAAAATAGGTAGCAAACTGTTTTAGTTGAAACCAATACCATTTTTAAAAAACACATAAATATCCCTGAATTTACTTTCTCTTTTTCTGTCCTTAATCCATGATTGGTTGCTCTTCTCCATGTATATGTACATTTAAGATAATTTGGTGGGGTATAGTCCTGACACTTGAGTATTGAGTTATATACAGAAACTTCTAGTCACACAGATTATATTTTACTATTTGGAGTAGACTCTCTTACTAAAATGTTTAGTTAACACTGAATTTTATGCTCATATTTTGCAGATGTTCTGAAATTAATAAATACAAACTTTATCCTTGGATCCATCAGTTTAGCAATAACCGGAGATCTGCTGATCAAATTCGACCCATCTTTTTCCCTGATGTTGACCCTCACAGTCTTCCTCCTGGTTCTAACTTTTCTATGACAGCAGGAGATTTTCAGGAGATTTATTCAGAATGCAGTAAGTTTACTTTATTACTTTTTTTTATTTTTAGAGAGAGATTTTTGCTATCAGGTGTGTGCACTCACCAGAAAGACAGAGACGGAGTGAGAAATTACCCCCAGGGGGGGAATGGCCACACCACAATCCCTTTTCCTCCATTCTCCTCTCGGGATTTTGGGCACACATGCACAAGTCACTGGGTCTGGGAACTTGAACCACACTATATAGGAGTCCAGCAACATAACAATTATGCCATCTGCTGGCCCCCAGAATGCAATAAGCTTAAAGCAAGTATTTTAAAAGATTTATCCTTTATCCTAAATTTAATGAGCTAGTTTTATCCTAAGCCAAAGTTGTTAATTCCTTATTTTGGTGGTAGGATACATTAATTTCTGTGACATTTTAGGATTATTTTCAAGGTTATACATAAGACAATTATAGAAAATATGTAGAAGGATAAGATCCCTCCAGTCAAGAAATGTAGAGTCTGTTGGGTTTAATATTGAAAGGAAGAAGAATATGGCAGGTAGAGGGGATACAGAATGACATGTAAATAAAGTTCAGATGAACAATGAATGCAATAGAGGCATAGGTTAGTGTGAGAGGGGAGCTTCGAACAGTGACTGACTTCAAGGATGAGGAGGAGTGGCGTTCGAGGCGGGCAGAGGTACAAACACACACATGAATGAGGTAATTGGGGATGGCAGCACAGTTGGACTGGCAAAGGAAGAGAAGATTTAATCAGAAGAACTGAACTGGTTCTAATTATGGAGGACCTTTTTTTTTTTTTTTTGAGAGGTTTTCGCTATAGGGCACGTGCGCTCGCCAGACAGACAGAGAGAGACATAGAGACAGAAAGCGAGAAATCACCCCCCAGAGGGGATGGTCACGCCACAATCCCTTTCTCCTCCATTCTCCTCTTGGGATCTTGGGCGCGCACGCACACGCGCCCGGCATGAGGTTTAAGCCACCGGGTCCAGGACGTGAACCACGGTCAACTACGTGGGAGTCCAGCGATATAGCCATTACACTAACTGCTGGTTCCCATAATTAAGGAGGACCTTTATAATCAGGCTCTGAAGTTTGGGCTTTAGCCTGGCTAACTTTTGAAGAATTTGAGCTAGGCATTAGAGGGAGAGAATGGCAATAGAGAAAGAGGAGAGGGGATGGCAGTAAAAAACAAAATGGGGTGCTGGGATCAACAAGAGCATGTTAAGCAGCAAGTCTGCTACATGCCAGAGACCAGAGAGCAACACTAAGTCTTTCACAAGAGACAACTAGGAAAAAGAGACAATAACAAGTAAATAAAATATTGTGAGGAAGAAAAATAAGGCAGAATAGGAGGATACAGAGTGACTGGGGAAGGGCTGCTATTTTGGCAGGGACGGCCTGTCTTTTATTGCCACGGAGTACATATGCTTGCCAGAGCGAGACAGAGACAGTGAAAGGGAAGGTGTGAAAACACCCCACAGAGACAATGGCCATGCCACAATCCCTTCTACTCCATTCATCTCCTGGGATTTTAGCATGCATGCATGCACACATGCCTGGTGTGATTTTCATGCCGCCAGGTCCAGGACTCGAACCGTAGTTTAGTGCCTTAACCACTACACCACCTGCTGGCCTGGGAAGACCTGTCTTCAGAGTAGAAATTTAAAAGAAAAAATGGCAAGCACACAACCTTAAAAGAGTAAAGAGGCAAATCATTCCCATGTTCAGGGGGAAATGTTGCAGACAGAGGAAGTGGCAAGGAGAGAGGATTAGGGGTAGAGAGAATATTTGTTCATCTCAGGGAGGAGCTGGGGTGTTGTAAGCCTTGGGCACAGTGGTGGGGCATCAGCCGGGAGAGAACTGGTGAGATAAACTCATAGACCATAGCAAAGACTTTAAATTGTACTTAGAGAGAGGGGGAACTGTTAGAGGGCTTGGAGCATGGGTGTAATAACAAGTTTTTATAAGAGGATTTCAAAATGTTTGTAGCAGAATCAAAGTATGTTTATTATGATATGAAAAATTTTGAAATCAGTACATAGATTTTTCATAATATGTTTCTATGAACTTTTTGAAGACCCTTTGTTTCTTTATTTATTTTCACAATGTAGAAAGTTTTTGTTCTTTCCTCCTGAACCCTGAGATGGGATAAACTGTACCTTGAAGATAATAAAGGAAAAATGGAAAATGTGAGGTACTGGGAATAAGTTACAGAGTAAGGTCTCAAAGAAGTAGCGAAATAATGGAAAATATTGCTTAGAGTAGAAATCCCTTTCTTCTGAAGCAGGTTTTGAGAGCAGATGTGAAGGTAGATCACAGAGGGCTTCAGATGTCTGTCTTGTACCAGCATTTGTGCAGATGCCGTCTTCAGGTCTGTCTCTGTCCCTGTGCCAGGCCACAGCTTTCAGGAGGCAAAAGTATTCTCTCCTGCGTGCCAGTATTCACAGTGAATATTGGAAGTTGTGGATGTTTTAGGTGTTTTAATGTCATTCATTTCTCATTTGGCAACAAGTATGTGCAGTCTTTCAGAAACCTGCCAGGAACGCTGGAAACCTGGTGATTAACCCTGATTAAAACCATCGTTTAATAGTCAGATGATTTATTTCATCTCAACTAGTTGTAAATGAAGGCTAGAACTTGAATAGATGGTAAAACTCAGAAATGTTATTTAGTAGTGATACATAGTGATATGTGTAACCAACCAAAAATGATTTGCAAATTCATTATCAGTTATTGATAAAACATTAATGAGTTTAAGTCTCAGAGCCAGCAAATAGCATGATGGTTAAGGTTTTTTATCCCACATGGCCGACCGTGATTCAAGTCCAAACCCAATGGCTTGAAAATCACACTGGGTGTGTGTGCGTGCATGCCCAAAATCCTGAGAGGAGACTAGAAAAGAAGGGATTGTTGGGTGGCCAAACGCTTGGGAGGTAATTTCTTACTTTCCCTCTCACTGTCTGTCTCTCTCCAGTGAGCACATATGCCCTGTGACAAAAACCTTAAAAAAAAAAAAAATGTGTCTCCTACGACTGGTTATTTGGTTATCTAAATTATAGTGTTGAACAAAGAACTGAGCTTCTCTATCCCTGCAGTTAAATGAAATATTAATACTCTCTAAAGGTAAATGACAAGTTTAAAGATACAGTAATTTGATTTTTCTTGACTAGATACCTGGGATTGTATTGCTACCTGTTTCTTCATAGACACGGCTCACAATGTAATTGATTACATTGATACAATATGGAAAATACTCAAGCCAGGTGGAATTTGGATAAATCTAGGTAAGTTCTCTGGTATTTATTAAAATTTTACCTATTAATACTGTGTACTTACAGGTATTTCACATTTAGCAACTTTGCAGTGCCAAATGTTCATGAAAGTTGTTAGGATTATGTTGTATGCATTTTGAAATCTCTGCAGTTTCTTTGAGGCTGTACCCTAGCCATGATGCTTCTAAAAGCAGGGAACCCCCAAATTGCATATTCCTAGTTAGGTCAGTCTCACAACAATCATGATTTCATAATATATCTATTATTAATCTGGCAGTAGGTAATCATTGACTCCTCTTCCCTATCTCCTACTCCACTGTGTCAGCAGTCTATTCTGTTAGGAAGGAAGTGTTCTTTTTTTCCTTCTATAATGAAGCAGTTGGGGGAAAGATTTTTACTTTTCCCATAGACTTGCTCTGCCAAGTACACCCATATACTGAGGAAAGAGTAGGTGTAATAACTTTTGTGATTACCTCAAATTAAAGAAAGAATATAGAGCCAGGGCCAGCAGGTGGCATGGCGGTTAACGGCACTGGACTCCCACATAGCCAACCACAGTTTGAGTCCCAGACCTGGTGGCTTGCTTTCTCACATTCGCTCCCTCTTTCTCTCGCTCTGTCCCTCTCTGGTCAAATTAAAAATAAATAAATAAAGTTAAATAAAAATTATTTAAAAAAATAGAAAGAGAGAGAGAGAGAGCGCCAGTTCGTGGCCTAGTGGTTAAGGGAGCCAGATCTCACATGGCTGATGTGGTTCAAATCTCAGGCCTGGTGGCTTGAAAAAAGCCTGGCGAGCTAGTAGGTGGCCTGTTGGTAAGGTACTGGACTCCCACATGACTGGCCATGAATCAAGTCCCATAGCGGGCAGCTTGCTTTCTCACTTTCCCTCTCTGTCTCTCTGATGAGCACACATGCCCTGTGACAAATTAAAACATAAAAATATTGATAAGTAAAATCAATAAATCTTAAAGAAAGAAAAAGAAAAAATGCCTGTGTGTGTGGTGTGTGCATGCACTCCAAAGCCCAACAGAAAGGAGAAGAGATTGTGCAGCATTGCCCATTGAGGGGTGCTTTCTTCCCTTCCTTTCCTCTTTCTATCTCTTTCTCTGGAGAATGCACGCATCCTTTGGCAATTAAAAAAATTGATACATGCAAAAAAACCTCTTACTGTATCATACTGCTTAGTGCTAGAAACTAAATGATGATTATGAATGACATGGTCCTTTCCCTTGAGAGTGTGAAGGAAAATGCCATTTTTTTCCCCTTTTAAATAAAGGGAGTACAGTAATAATATCAAGATAAAGTACTTTTTTTTTCATGAGATAATTTATGCTCAGAAAAATGTTAAGCCTAGAATATAAAGATTTTCAAGATGTGGGTCATTATACTACACAGAAGGACAGATATACATTGTTTGAGTCCCTAACCTAGGGTGGGTTTAGTGTATAACAGCCAATTCTGTTACCTACCCTTTCTGTCTCTTTTAAAAAATTTTATTGTAATTTCTGCTTTATAGGTAATAGTTATACATCTTTGTGGGGTACAGTGTGGTTTCTCAGTGCATATATACAGGGTGCAGTAATCAAATCTAGTAAGTAAATAAATATATTTACCATCCCCAACATTTATCATTTCTTTGTGTTATGGACATTCACAGTTTACTCCACTGGTTATACGGAAATATATGTTAAATTGTCACCAACATTTTCTTTAAAAAAAAGAAGGTATAAGACACAAAATGTCAGGTCTGCCCTCGGGAACTTGAGGAGGCCAAGAATTCCTTTCAAAGGCATCTGTAAGCCTGCCGAGCAAGTACCATGAGCAAAGCTCATCCTCCCAACATGAAAAACGTAATGAAAAGAAGTTACTGAAATTAAATGGTAGCAGACATATCCAAGGAATATTGTGGGAATTGTTCCATTTATGAATGTTGATAGACATGTGTGGAGATGGCAACTAGTGGGCAAGAGAACAATGTTGGAGTAGTAGTAATACAAGAAAATAGTATCATCCTGTTAGAAGCCTTGGAATGAGTGTCAGTAATGGCTGTTCAACAACAAAACATCATGTCCCCCTCACCAGCTGGCCTGTTTTATTATGATGTAAAAATCATGTTATGTACATTTTCAAAATAAACTTTGTGTGCGAAGTAAAAACTTTGTTTGATTTTACTTATTATTTAATTTGTTATAGGACATATGCATTCAACAGAGAGAGAAAGGGAGACGTAGAGGGAAAATGAGAAAGCAGGTCACCAGGTCCTGGACTGAGACCACGGTCAGTCATGTGGGAGTCCAGAGCCTAACCACCACATCACTTGCTGGTCCTGTCACCAACATTCTTTACTGTGCTGTACTATTCTGCAATGTGGTCCACTTGTTTACATGTACTCTCGTTTCTGTTATCCTATATCTCTCCACCCCTGCTCCACACCCCTCTCTAGATTCTGGTATACATCACTGCACTCCACTCCTGTGCAGTCAGGCTTGTTTTATTTAGTGTTATTTCTGCCATATTCACCAATTTTGCCTCCAATGTCACGAATTTGTTCTTTTTCACAACCAAATAATATTCTATTCTGTGTATATTACATTTTCTTTGTCCAGTCATCAGTTGTTGGGCACTTAAATTGATTCCATATTGTAGCTTTTCTGAATGATATAGTAAACACGGAAATGCAGACTGTCTCTTCCACATTTTGACTTCTTATTCTTTGACTTTATACCCAGTAGCGGGATTACTGGGATTTTAAGGTAGTTCTAGTTCTAGCTTTTTGAGGGACCTCTGTCATACGATCTCATGTAGTCCTAATTACAGCCTTGCATGCCCTGCCTTCAGATACACTGGGGATGAGGGTTTTAACATTTGAATTTGGGAACTTGGCCAGTGGGGGAGTGGGTGGACAACATAAGCATTCAGTCCAAAATACCCTTGTTTTGCCTAACCATATCCATCCATCAATATAAAAGTATAGAAGGGCCATACAATGATTGTGTATATTTATGGGCCACAGTATAATGCTCCAAAATGTGTATATGCTAGGTAATGATCAAATCAGCATAATTAGTATACTTATCACCTCATTATCACAACATTCATCCTTTCCTCATTGGGAGAACAGTCAAAGTTCTCTTTTCTGGTATTTTTAAGTATATATTATTATTAACTACATTCACCCTCTTGTATAGTAGAACATCAGAGCTTATTTTTCCTCTCTGAAACTTTATTATTGACCATTATCATCCCACCTGCTTCTCTCTGCAACCTCTTTCTGAGATCAACTAAAAGTTGTATCCCTTAAAGTTCCTTACTAGCAGGGGTTTGCCCTGTACATCATAGGCTGGTTAATAGTGTGAACAGTGTCCCTGATCTCTACCTTCCAGATGACCACAAATGTCTTTAGACATCAGAAATCATCCACTGTGGGGCAAAATTGTTCAAAGAGTTTATCAAATTGCAGATCCTTGGCATCTGAGTAGTCAAATACCTCTGGCCAAAAATCACATCTAGATTTACTTCTGGGTTTCTGGTAATTTCTTACTAACTTGCCAATTTAACCTCTATACTTCTTTTTTTTAAATTTTTATTATTTTTTTATACACTCAATCACTACACATCATGTAACTTACAGAGAGAATTTAACTAACATGAAGTATACCTCAGACCAGTCCAGTTAAGAATACTATACACATCGTCATCAACAAGTAATAAACCATTTCTGTGTTCCACAAATGTCTTATTTCTCCATTTTTCTCCCTAATTTTCTTTCCTATTCTCTTCCCCTCTCCCAACCTCCTTCCACACTGTTGCCAGTGTCCATAACTATTTTCAATGCTTTTATGCCCTCCAATCTTTTAGTATCTACCATAGAGTGTGGATAGTCAGTATATGTCAAGTGGTTACATACAGTGTCTCTCTTTCATAGCCTGACTTGCTTCATTCAGCAATAAATCTTCCATATTAATCAACTTTCTATCAAATGCCAGGGTCTTATTTTTTATGGCTGAATAATATTCCATAGAGTATATGTGCCACACTTTTTCAATCCTTTGGTCTGTTCGTGTACATTTGGGATGGTTCCATATCTTAGCCATCGTGAATAATGCCACAGTAAACATTAATGTGCAAGCACTTTTCCAACTGAGCATTCTTGTTCTTTGGGTAAATTACACCCAGGAGTGGAATTGCTGGATCATATGGTAGTTCAGTTTGTAGGTCTTTGAGGAACCTCCATCTTGTTCTCCACAGTGGCTGGAATAATTTGCCTTCTCACCAACAGTGTAGGAGAGTTCCCCTTTCACCACAACTCTGTCAAAACTTAACCATTTTTATATTTTTTATATTTTGAATCTTCACCATTCTGACAGGGATTAGGTGCTATTTCACTGTGGTTTTAATCTGCATCTTGTTTATGATGAGGGATGTTGAGCACTTTTTCATACGCTTTTTGGCTGGTCATATGTCTTTAGAAGTTTGTTTTTTGTTCAGCTCATTTTCCCATCTTTTAATTGGGTAAGCTGCTTGTTTACTGTGAATTCTGGTTATCAGTCCCTTATCTGAGGCATAGTTTACAAAAATATTCTCCCATTCTGAGGTTTGTCGATTCACACTAATTACTATGTCTTTTACTGTGCAGAAGCTTCTTAATCTGATGTAATACCATTTGTCTATTTCTGGGATTATTGCCTGTGCAATAAGTCTTAGAAAGGCTTACTTAAAAAAATATTTGACTACCCTAATGTCTCCTAGAGCTTCCCCAGTGTTTTCTACCAGTAGTTTTACAGTTTGAGGTCGTAGGTTTATATCTTTGACTCATTTTGAGTCAATTTCTGTTAATGGTGAAAGATTGGGGTCCAGTTTCATTTTTCTGCAAGTGAATACCTGGTTTTTCCAGCACTATTTGCTAAAGAGGTTTTCCTTTTCCCACTGGATTGACTGATATTCTTTGTCAAAAATCAGTTGGCTATATATTAGGTTTCCAGTTCCCTGGGGCATGATGTTAGTTTGTCATGT